ACACGATTTATTTTTTGTATTGTATTTTTGTTTTAGCAAATGAATAAAAATGAATATTTAAAAAAACACGACTTGTTTATTTGTATTGTATTTTTAAAAAAAAGGCATTTGTCTCATGGTGAAACTGATACACTGTTAATCATTCTGTTTTATATTTTTGTATTTATGCAATAAATGTACAAACTCTGTAATTTTTAATTTGACAGTTTTGCTAAAACTAAAAAAAATATTTTACTATAGAGTTGTATGTTATTTAAATTCATAGTAAATCTACCATCCTTCCCTTTTTTGTTTGAGTAAATTTCTGACTTTTAAAAAAAAAATTGATGTGGGGTCGTCCATAAATGACGTCACACTCGTAAGGGAGAGGGGGGTCAGCAATTTTGTGACGGTGTGTGATGAGGGGGAGGGGGTGGGGTTTCAGATGGTGTGACGTCCCTTTTTTGCATTATAAAAAAGCAATGTTAGAAAAACAAGTTTTAGCCGTTAATTCGCGTTTTAGAAAACGGTTTTAATAAATTGTAATATGAATTGATCAAAATACTCTATGTTGACAGAGTTCTGACAAGATTTTGGAAAAATTATCGATGTTTTAAGAAAAATTCAACAGAAATTTTGAGGGGGGGGGGGGTTGTAGGCTGAGGTGTGACGTCATTTTAGGGGGGGGGTCTGACATTTTGTGACGACGTGTAACGGAGGGGAGGGGGGAGGTAAAAATCGTAAAAAAAGCGTGTCGTCACAAAAAGCAAGACCCCCCCCCCCAAAAATGACGTAGCACCATCTGAACCCCCCCCCCCCCCTCATCACACACCGTCACAAAATTACCCCCCCCCCCCCTTCCGAGTGTGACGTCATTTATGGACGACCTCTAACATTATTTTTTTAAAAATGACAACGTGAGTTGTCACACTTTCTCTAACACTCCAAGCCATCCCTCACCAAATTCCACCCCCCCCCCCCTCGGCCCACTCTCGGCAGCATCATTGTGCCTTTTAATACTTTTATTCAGTTTAGTTGAAATTGGAACACTTAATTGTACAAAGTGTGCATCTCTATTTTTGTAACCAACAAACAAAGCACTTCAGTCAGTCTCTTTGTTGTTTTTTATTCATTTGTTAAAACAAAAATACAATACAAATAAATAAGTCGTGTTTTTTAAACATTCATTTTATTCATTTGTGAAAACAGAAATACAATACAAAAAATAAATCGTGTTTTCCTAATGTTTTGGTGAGTTTCGGTTGTTAGAATAAAATACGCTCAACTGGAGGTAAACAAGCAACGGAGAATAAAATACGCTGAAATGGAGTTTTACCCTTTTTATTATTCATTATAAAACTTTTAACAAAATCAATTATCTTATATTCTCGTTTTGAATCATGTGGTTGCTATCACGTGACGTTTTGGCGTCAAAATGGCTGCTTTTGAGTATAAATTTTAATAAGCAGTGTTCAATGTGTGAGTGGCAGTGTATCTTTTTAAAATGTAATCCAATTAGTACTATCTAGAGATTTGATCGATATAGAAGAGATCTAGGCCTAGTATACTGATGCATAAAATAATATGTAGGCACATGGCCATGCCATATAGATCTAGTAAATACTTCATTGGGGACCATACTTTTACTTTTATTAATATTAACTCATTTATATTTTATACTATACAATACAAAATTTGTTAGGAATGTAACTGAATAGTAGTGAATACTGAATGTTCACTGTTACTGTTAGACTAAAAAGTTGAAAAGCAGCAAAAACATGGCCAATTATAAATATTGAAAAGACTTACCCAGTAACCCGTAACATTGAACTGCAATGTAATGTATGCAGGCTATTTAGGTGCAAAATGTTGACCAAGAACCCATAATTGTCTGAAATACTTGAATGAAATTATAATACACTATACACAATACCCCTTAATTAAGTACAGATGATATAGTATAGCATAGTGACTATTGTTATTTAGGCTGTAAAAAGTAGTTGCATATTTAGATAGACTATACAGTTCAATTGTAACTACATACTTTTTAACGCATTCTTTCGCATCAACAAATGTGCATTTTTCGCCCCACAGAAAACTCCACTCATCCTCTTTGTATCATAAAGTATCATTTATCTGCTGGCAGAAATGAATTAACATAAATAAATGGATCCAAAGTGTAAACACTAGGCAGGTAAGTATTTATAGCATAAACTGTTTTCTTTAGATACATATAACTCGCAAGGGGCTATAAGTTGCTTATGTTTTTCTTACAAACTTTCTGTTAGTAGCACCTAAATTTTTATACTATAATTGCTACATCTGAACTAGAAGAAACTATTTGTTTGTTTTTTTAAATATTTAACAATTTTACTTTTACTAAAAAATTATTTGTAAGTAGAGACAGGTAATGGCTTATTTTAACATTCTGTTAGCAAAGCCAAACCTTGTGTGTATACCCTCTTAGCCCTTAAAAAATGGTCATTCCTGATTTTTCAATTTAAACTCACAGAAGTTAAATATTTCTAATACTTAGGCCCTATATTGTTTTTATATTTTCATTCAGCTATTTTGTTGTCCTTAGGTATTGGTTGACAGGAATAAAATGTCAGAGCAGGAAGATGGCTGCTCTGAGACGGATAGCATTTATTTAAAAGATTCAAAGGCTGTGAGTGGACATGAGAATTTAACCTCTGAAAATGAAGATTTCTGTACAGAGAGCCAAACACACAGTGAAAGAGAGCAGTTTGATGGGTCTTCTGATGAATCTCAAAAAAATTATGAGCAAGTGGGCAGTCATAAAAGTGGGAAGAAATTTAAACCCAAAGTTAAAATTAAAACTTTAACCATCGATGGGCAGCTGGTTTACTTTTGTAAAATATGTGATAAAATCTTTACAAGACGAAAAGACAAACTGAACCATGAACTTGCTCATAGTGGTGAGTCTGTTCTTACTTGCACAGAGTGTGGGAAAGAGTACTTGCATGAATCAAGTTTGGCATCCCACATGCGAACTCATGACGGAGATCCTCTTTACATGTGTGACCTATGCCCGAAAATGTTCGCCCAGAGTCATCACTTGAAGACTCACATCCTGTCCCATTCTGAACCTACAAACTTTGTATGTAAAACATGTTTTAAAGAGTTTGCAACAACCTCAGATCTAAACCACCACTGCCGTGTACAGATCAAGCATGAAATGACACAGCTGTGGTGCAAAATGTGTAAGGTTTTTCTCTGCCGCCATCACGATCTGGTCACAGAGAAGAGGCTTCATGCCTACTGCTGCACAGCTTGCAATGAATTGTTCTACACAAATAAGAAACTGAAAATCCACATGAAAAAGTTTGCGCATTTTTCTACAGAGAAGCCGAAATACATAGAACCTTTACGTGAATATGAACTGTACCCTGACAAGATCTCTGAAAATCCAAAGAAAATGACTGCTCAGAAAGAAAACGAGTTTATAAAAAAGTCTGAACAGTGTGATTTGACCACCAAGCGACCTGGGACAGAGTTGACTGAAGAAGAGCCTCCTCCAAAAAAATTTAAGCTGTCACCAAGAAAAGTGTTTTTAGAGAATGAACATTCAAGTACCTCAATGCAAGATTCTGCACCAGAGATTAAAAAAGAATTGGATATAAAGTCACCCAATAAACATAGAAAGGTATTAGTAATATTGTTTTTATGTCTTTTTTTCCTAGCATATTAACCCTGAAGCGCCTTAACTTTTAGCTTACATTTGCTACAATTGTGTTATACTAAATGTAAATTGGAGATTTTTGTCTATATTGAAAATGACTTGGTGTAACATTAACAATTATCAGAAGTAGGTTAAGACTTTGATAGTAGTAAATTTTCATTTTTTTACAGTAAACTCTACTTTGATAATACTAAATTTTTTTAATTTAAGGGTAAACACACCTTTTTTTAACAGTAAATCTTGATATAGTCAAATCTTCATATTTTAGGGTAAACCCTCATTTGATAAAAGTAAATCTTCATATTTTAGGGTAAACCCTCCTTTGATAAAAGTAAATCTTCATATTTTAGGGTAAACCCTCCTTTGATAAAAGTAAATCTTCATATTTTAGGGTAAACCCTCCTTTGATAAAAGAAAATCTTCATATTTTAGGGTAAACCCTCCTTTGATAAAAGTAAATCTTGATATTTTAGGGTAAACCCTCCTTTGATAAAAGAAAATCTTCATATTTTAGGGTAAACCCTCCTTTGATAAAAGTAAATCTTCATATTTTAGGGTAAACCCTCCTTTGATAAAAGTAAATCTTCATATTTTAGGGTAAACCCTCCTTTGATAAAAGTAAATCTTCATATTTTAGAGTAAACCTTCCTTTGATAAAAGTAAATCTTCATATTTTAGGGTAAACCTTCCTTTGATAAAAGTAAGTAAATCTTCATTTTAGAGTAAACACTCCTTTGATAAAAGTAAATCTTCATATTTTAGGGTAAACCCTACTTTGATAAAAGTAAATCTTCATATTTTAGGGTAAACCTTACTGCAAGAAATGCAACAAGTCCTTTAAAGATACATCTGACCTGGAGCATCACAAAGCCGCAGTGCATGAAGATAAACCTGAGGTTTCTACAGAGAGCTCAGAACCTTTGTCCAGGGAGTCTGAGAGTAGCAAAGCCCTGTCCCACACTTGCCCTGTGTGTAATGACAGTTTCACGTGCTCTGGGGAGCTGACGAGACATTTGAAAATGCATGTTGATGAGTTCCCGTACAAGTGCAGCCAGTGTGGGAAAGCTTTCAGGCTTAAGGTATGTGAGCATTCAGCTCAGTTGTGAGACCTTAAGGTTGATTGCGTGTTCTGATTACAAGTTCAGTCAGTGTGGGAAAGCTTTCAGGCTTAAGGTATGTGAGCATTCAGCTCAGTTGTAAGTCGTTAAGGTTGAATGTGTGTTCTGATTACAAGTGGAGCCAGTGTGGGAAAGCTTTCAGGCTTAAGGTATGTGAGCATTCAGCCTGGTTATGAGACGTTAAGGTTGATTGTGTGTTCTGATTACAAGTTCAGTCAGTGTGGGAAAGCTTTCAGGCTTAAGGTATGTGAGCATTCAGCCCAGTTATGAGACATTAAGGTTGATTGTCGTGTTCTGATTATTATAAACAACTGCATCACTATATCGAGGTTACTTTTTGTGTCTGCCATGTCACAGAGAAAAAAAAATTCCTTATAGTACTGTATTGTCCTGCCAACAAGTTTGTGAGGACATGGATATCCTTAATTTATCCAAATCAATTTCTGAATTACTGGGTGGGGGTAAAAAAAACCTGTTGCTATGGCTATTTAAAGAGCTATTGTTCAACTAATACTTATTCATCATGTACAAAAATAAAAATAACCAGATACTTCCAGAAAAGTTTTTAAAAAGTGTAATGAAGGATAAAGTAAAAACAGTATTGTGTAAAGTATGAAAGAAGTAAAAATAACATGTTGTGGTAATGTTATTTTTAGATCCAGCTTATTCAGCATGTCAGGCTCCACATCTCCCAGGAGTCTGGCAGTGTGACCTTGTCAAAGTCTCTCCCTAAAACAGAGTGCCAGTCCTTGACAGCACAGAATCAAAGTGAGGCTGAAATATTTAAGGTATGGGTATTTTGTATGAATTTTAATTTGTATGAACATCTTTTTGAATCAATCCACAAATTTTTTTATTTTTTTTCCAAACCTGGAGTATTGGTATTCTTAGAAATTATCTTATTGCTTCCCTAAGACCAGATAATTTTTTGTTTTTTCGAGATTTATACACCATTGTGTTCTAAATCCACAAATATTTTGTGCCATATCTCTCACCATTATTATACAACATTTTAATTTCACCAACTAATTAATATAAAAGTGACAAGGAAAATAAACCTTAATACCTTGCAGTGAACATTTTTGAAAAGAGGAGTTAGAACAGTCTGGTTCTAAGGAAGGGATATATCTGAATTCTGTACTGTGTTACTTGTGTAAATAATAATGACCATATTTTTCTGAGTTGGCCTAAAAACAGTAATTGTTTTCAGCTAGCTTGATCTAGTTCTATAACACCTTCATTTGGCTATCCTTCCAACCCAAAGTTGAGCTGTCATACCATCAAATGACTATATATATTTCAATACAAATAATGATAAAAGTTAACCTCTCAGACCTGATGGCCAACAGGGCAGATAAAGTAGAGTCCACCAGTTTTTGTAAACACTGTATGTGAAAATAAAATGTGGTCCGCTCTATGCCCAGCCACCTTTTCTTTCCTTAACAAGAGTCAGGTACCCGTTAAAGCAGAGTGGACTCAGAAACACTTTATGTATTTGAGTATTTGGGATCCAAACTTGAGACTTATGGGTCAACAGTCTTGTACTGTACTACCCAGCCACACCATTATATTATGTTTACCAAGCAAAAGTAGAAAATACAAGGCAAAGTATTGGCTGAAACAATTTGATCTCAAATTTGTCAAGAATGTACATGTTTTATGTTTAAAATATATTCACTTTTTTAAAAAAAAATAAGTTTTTTTAAATACACATTGCTCAGAAATATTGCAATTTTTTTATTCCAGTGTCACCTATGCTGTAAGGTGTTTTCATTCCGCTATAAGCTGCTGAACCACTTAAGACTACACACAAATGTTAAGTGCTTCCAGTGTTATATCTGTCACAAGGCTTTTGCTACCAAACACTACCTACAGAGGCACCTGCAAGTCCATATCAAACAAGGCATGGATGTCGACATACAGAATATTATAGTGGACGAGGAATCTAAAACAGAGCTGGATAATATCCAAATCATGAAGGAAAAGTCTCAGATAAAAGAGGACGATCTGAGTGAGGTGGATGTTTTGGAAAAAGAAAGTTTGAAAAGGATCTCGGTGTATGAGGATAAAGATGTTGCAAAAATCGAATCTTTGCAGAATGCAGTAAATCTTATACAGGTTAAGGCGGAAGTTGAAGAGTCTGATAGTGATTCAGGGCACAGCTTCTGCTCCTCTTTGACAAGAGAGTCAGACAGAAGCGATCCTTTTAGGTTCTCTTCAGATGAGTCCAACACTTTTAAAAGCACCATGGCGAAAGAAAGGAGAAGGCTCAGACGAAGGTGGATAAGGCAGTCAAAAAAGTTGGCAAGGAATATAAAAATATTAAAGTGTCCCGTGGAAGAAAAGTCCATCACGGTCAAAGAGGAAACAGAAGAGGATGTGACCAATATGATGGTAGAGTTGAATGGGGTTCAGTCTGAAATGGATAATGTTATGACGGTTTATGTGGATTTAACCCAAATGAAAACGGTGAAAAATGTGGATCAGGGGAGCGAAACAAAGAGTAATTTAGTTTGTAACGAGCTGGGTTTGTCACCAAATACAACAGTTAAAGTTGAAACACAGCCTGATAATGTTGATGATGCTGTGTTGAGTGAGGTTGATGGGAAAAATAATGATGTTCCGAAAGATACAAATAAAAAATTTAAAACCCTCTTGTTTGAGCTTGACGCGGAGCAGTTAGAGAACAACAATTTTATCATCCCCAGCAGATTAGAAGCACAAAGTTTGGAAGGCGATGCTGTCTGTGATAGTGATCAGAAAAATATTACCAAATTTGTATTTCAAACAGGAGACGAAGTTGTCAAACCCATTTATTCCGGCAATCATCCATTAAAAGCACAAACCAGCCTCTCTACTCAGAGTCAGCAGACCAAATCTGACCCTGATGTCTCTAACTTGGATAGACTAAAACAAGTTTTTGAAAATTCTTCTAAATATTTACCATTGTCCCAGGCTTCGAGCATTCCTTGTTATGAACCAATCACTCCACCAAAGAAAACACCAACAGAGTGTAAGACACTAGAGTTCCCTTCCTTTGAGCCTCACCACAACATCACAGAATCACAGGACAAACATGTCTTCTCACCCCCTCAAGATTTAAAGCCCAGCGCTCATGTTCAACACTCAGCTGTCCACTTTGATCACAGTCAGAGAGACACCAAATCTACCTTGGGTCCCTACGAGTTAATCTCTCCTCCAAAACCACTTGTCATAGACATCCCAGCAACCAGCCCCAGAACTAGTTCCACGCCTCGGAGCTCCTCCAGAGACAAACCTGCAGATACTCACTCGAAAACTCCCACCACACCTAATCTGACTCACCAAACCTCGAGTGCATCTCCTTCACAGTTTTCTATGACCAACACAAGTTCCTCTACCTCCTACAGATCCAACACACCCATCAGCTCAAGCAGTTCTGGTTATGCATCTCATCTCCCTGAACACTCAAATTCCCAAAACACATTACAAAAAATCCACAACCAGAGAAGGCCTGAGACACAAGTTGTTCCATTGCAAGCTGTAAACTCTACACTGAAAACGTCCAGCTCCAGGCCAGCTATGCACTACAGTGACAATTCTGTTTACAATCATTTGAGTGTTAGCACAAGTTCATCGACCAGCAATAGGGTTAATCCTGTCTTACCATCCAGCACACAGAGCTTCAGAGTTCCCAGCAGTCAGTCTGGCTCCAACACACACGTCAGTCTGGCTTCAAGTTCCAGCGCGCCTGTCCACATGAGGTTACCCAGCTATACCTCACCTGTACACACCAGTTTATCAAGTTCCCACACACCTGTTCATGTGGGTCTCCAAAGTTATAGCGCACCTATGCACACAAGTTTATCAAATTCCAATGCAAATGTTCATGTCAGTCTCCAAAATTATAGCACACCTATGCACACAAGTTTATCAAATTCTAACGCAAATGTTCATGTCAGTCTCCAAAATTATAGCACACCTGTCCATACAAGTTTATCAAATTCCAACGCAAATGTTCATGTAAGTCTCCAAAATTATAGCACGCCTATGCACACAAGTTTATCAAATTCCAATGCACCTCTTCATGCAAGTCTTCCCTCAAGTTTCAGCACAAATGTATCAAGTTCTAACCAAAATACTTTTATACTGAATTCATCATCAATTTTTGACACCAACAACCCGGTGCTTAGGGATATGAACATGATGGACTTAGTGAACTCAACACATGCAACAAACCATATGTACGGGCATGTAGACCAAATCAACTCACAGGCCCTGCCGGGGTCTGCTTTCAACCTGCTGCAGCAGTCAGCACTGGACCAGCAGGTCAGGCACAACCTCATGGCCATGGCCGACGCTCAGGGTATGTCGTTACAGCCACAGAATGCAGTGCTGAGCGTGGGGAACTCGTTAGGAATTAATCTAGGAACATTTGGGAATTCGTTTCCTTCAGTGTTTAATCAAAGACTCGACCCTGTGGGGATGGGTGGGGCAATGGACAGTTCGATGATCAGTCTTGCCAGTGACGATGCTGCCGTGTACTTGAGGAGCCTGCATGAGTCGATGACCAGGTCTAACCCAGGAAATGTTGGCATGTATCCACCAATGTCGATAAACATCAACCAGACTGGTGGGGCTATGCCGTTGAATATATCAAATAATTTTTCTTTAAATTCCGACAGCTTTGGAAATTTTTTACCTCAGGGTATAGATCCACAGGGGTCGTTTAGTTACGGGAATATTGCTGCATTGCACGGTGGCTTGCCGGTCAACATTAGCGGCGCCCCACAGCTGATGCACAACATGGCGGGTCCATTTCCTCCCGGTATAGTCCAGGACAGTCTCAGGAACAGTTCGGCACCTTTTGGTTTCAATATTCTAAATCCTGCTGTTTTGCCTGGCAATGGCCCCATTACAATGATAAGCAGTTTCAATCCACATTTTTACCCTGGTTTCCCCTAACGTTTGTATTGGCTTTAGTAGGCTTCATTGTAAACTTACAACACAAGCTAACTTTAGTGGGCTACATTGTAAACTATCAACACGAGCTAACATTATTGGGCAGGCTACATTGTAAACTATCAACACAAGCTAACATTAGAGGGCAGGTTACATGTAAACTATCAACACAAGCTAACATTAGTGGGCAGGCTACATTGTAAACTATCAACACAAGCTAACATTAGTGGGCAGGCTACATTGTAAACTATCAATGCAAACTAATATTAGTAGTCTAAATTGTAGATTATCAACACAAACGTAAAAATTCTGCCCACACCTCAATCAAATACTAATAAGACAAAAAAATTTAAATAGATCCATTGCTATGGATTTTAAACCAAAGTGATTAATTATTTCATTTGTTTAGAGGAAAATTTAGTTATATTCTATTTACCTGATTTTGGTTTCTGTATATTAGTCTATGAATTTTTTTTCTTAGATTATTTTTTTAAAAATCTGTTTACTTTGCCTCAGCAAGGCAATTTACTTCGATATATGCAATTGTCATAATCAGGTTTAATTTTTTTTTTTGTAAAAACACTTTTATACAGTAGTGTCAACATAGTTTAGATTGTAATATTTTAAAAATATAGACCTGTTTCAAAATGGTGACTAAAATTATATGTTCGGCTATTGTTGTTGGGAAAGAACATTGCTTGTCGAAAGCGCTAGAGGACACATGCAGTTTTGTGGTTTGACTTTATTGTTTTTTATCCCTGAAAGAGTTCCAGATAAAGAAAACTGCTGGATGAGAGTTACTCTGTCATAAAATAAAATGTCAGCCATAATATTTTTACTAATCATTGGTGACTAGCATTCATAAAATTATGGAGATTATTTTATTTGTTGTGTATTAGGCTGAATTTCTGTGCCCTTAAAAAAATGGTAAAATGGCGTTTGGTTGCTATGTTATTGTTAATATAATTCACTCTTGCTATTCTCAAATCCTCACTGTTTATATATAGTAATGTATAATAGTTTCATTCCCGCTGTCCCCACTGTATTAAGCAGTGTTGGTATTGTAGTATTGTATGTTTCACTTCTGTTGTTTTCACTGTTCATAAGCACTTGAGGTTGTCATGACCATCAAAACATGAAATTCAAATGTGCTGTGTCCTTTGTGTTTACTCAACAATGCAGTATTTGTATGCAAATTAATGCAAACTGTTTGAAAGTGTTAAATTTCATTTGAAGATTTTAGAATCAGCATTATTTTTAGTTAAGTATATTTCACATGTAGTCACAGTGTTTTTGTTTATAATTCACTGACTTTTATTGTTTTGTTTTGTATGTTTCATATGATTTTGTTTGTGGCTCTTCCAGTTACACTTTTTGTATAATTCACCAAAATTTAAAGACTGTATTTACTGTCATTTTTTACCGCCATTTTTTAAGTTGATTGTTTGATATGTACATATTTGTTTTTCCAATTCCAGTTTTCAAGAACTTACTTTTTAAACTAGTTACTCTTGTACATGTTCGAATTATATTATAATATATGCCAATCTTTTAAAAAAAATATATACCCCCCATATATTTAGGATCGCACAAAATGTACACAATCATTCTTTTGTTTTTGATTTATATATATGTAATGATTATGTATATAGATATATAATGGTAGATAGATAGATAAATCAGGTGTTTGAATTAGATAGGGGAGTGGTTCACTAACACCAATACCCTGTTGATGCTGTTCTTCAATCCCTTGAAGGTTTTATTCATAATTGGACGAAAACATCCTGTAAGTGATCAGGACTAAAATTTATATGAACGCAATGTTTCAGTTTCACAAACCAAACAGGGCCGACAAAAATAATGTACCTTTCACAACAGACAAAAAAACATGACACATTCTCTTGCTACTGCAGTCATTTTCTACACAAAAATCAACAATCCAATATTTCTACCACTTTTTATTGTGAAAAAATATCCTAAACCATACTCCCATTTTAACCTCTATGTTAAGACCTAGTTATATTTTTTTTTAAAATATGTATGTTTTAATTTTTCATTGGAATATGAATGAAATTTATACAGTAGCAGATCTTTTAACCCTCAATTGTTTACCATTAAAGGCAATATTTTTATGGACATAGTCTCGCCTAATCTAGTTGTTCACTCATAAAGATATATATATAAATTATGATAGTCTCACCTAATCTAGTTGTTCACTCATAAAGATATATATATATAAATTACAATAGATCTGTTGTTTTGAAAAAATTAAGTTTAATGAAAAATACTGTGTTTGGATGCTGATTAACATGACATTAAAAAATAATTGTTAAAATATTTTACTAAATATTTGAATATCTGTATGTACTCATTGCTATAAATGCACTGAACATGTAAGTGTAAATGCTACCTTTGTGTGCATTGTGGTAAGGGAGATAACCTTTTTTTAAAAGTAATATTTTTCTACTCATGACATTAATCTTTTTATACAACTTTTGTTACCTCAAATTTATATTTGTTTCATGTTGAACATGATTTTTGCTTTTTAACTTCTCCTACAGCATTTACAATATTTCTTTGTTCTTTATGACCTGTGACATAAAGGGTACTGGTGATTTGTTTTTATTTTTTTTGTATTTTTGTTTTCCCCCACTATTTAGAATAATAATGGTATTTTAAAATGTATTTTAAGCACTGCTTTTCAGTCATCAAATTAGAATAAAATATTGTATGTTAACTACATATTGATTTTTAGATATTAAATTTTGATTTGCACTTAATATAAAATCACACATTAACTCAAGATAGTTTATTTTTTCATGAAGAAAGTTTAAAAAATAAAATTCCCTAAGAGCCATGTCTAGTTGATGCATCCCTACTTATCCCATCATTATCCTTATCCCATAAATACCAGGCAGCAATGCATTGTTTTGTGTCCATGTCCTGACAATTTTTTATACATCAAATGTAAATGTTAAAATTCTAATTTGTATGTGTTGTGTGTGATAAAGATTTGTTAGCATGCCCAAGTACTTATTTAAAATATGTTGATACAACTTTCTGGCAGCAATAATACCAAAGTAATTTTTTTTTGTTCCTTTTTCCCTGTCATTGTTTTATGTAAACAGCTGGTCCTAGCTGTTCATTGTAGATAAGGGTCTAACCACTTGGGATTTGTTTAATTGGACAATATTTATTTGGCCTTGGCAGTCCAAGGGTAATAAAATTTTGTATAGGACTAGCAATGATCATTTTCTCTAGCTCTTTTAGTAGGGTTATGTAGCTTTGCTTAAAAATACTTAAAATAATAGCCATTGATGTGAGCTGATTGTGTACCCCAAATCAGTATAAGGGCCAATGTGTATTAGTCAACCTAAGTCCATGTATAGACATCTCTCTATTTTTGCATAGAAATTGTATTCAAATTTCAATCAAAAGAAATTTAGTATACAATATTTCAACAGCCTCAGAACAACAGAACTTGTTTAATCCAAAGTTAGGCAATTACTTCAATCAATATTTTAAATTTTTATTTGAACAAACTTCCATTGTGCATTTTATACAATGAAAATGTCATATATTTTTTTTTACATCAAAATTAGAAAACAATGTACATGACAGGTTATAGCATGTGAATGTGGTCTGTGGGTGGGACCCAGTTCTGGAACTGCAAGCATATCTTTGAGTGATTAACTGCGGACCTGTCTTTAGGCTTTTTAAACTTGTTATTGAGAAAATAAATTTAAAATGAACATTATACTTTTTCTTTTACTGCGGTCCTGTCATTAGGCTTTGCTATTGAGAAAATAAATTTAAAATGTACATTAATTATAAACTTTTTCATTGACTGTGGTCGTGTCAATAGGCTTTTTAAATTTGTTATTGAGAATATAAATTTAAAATGAACATTAAACTTTTTCTTTAACTGTAGACTTGTCAGAAGGCTTTTTTAAAACCTTTTATTGAGAATATAAAATTAAAATGTACATTAATAAACTTTTTCTTTGACTGCGGTCCTGTCATTAGGCTTTTAAACTTTTTTTTTTGAAAAGTAAATTTAATATGTACATTATATTGTTGCTGTGTAATATGTTTTCTACAGTCAAAAGAAAGAAACTCAAATAATTACATTCACATGTGATTCACATACAATTTTCTTATATGAAATGATATAAATGTGTCTTAAAAGACTGCCAACTTCTGTCTATAGCCAACAAAGCTGAGAGATGATATATTGTAGGGAGAAAACTGTTTTAAAACTTTTTTGAATCTCAGGATAGCTAGTAAACTTTTTGGTGTCATACTGGTGCTGATTTTTTTTTTCTTTACATTTCACAAAACCAAATATTTTTTTTATTTCTTAGATTGATTAAACAAAAACAATTTATGTTACACAAAAATGTTGTTTCCTTTTCCTTTGATCAAGGTGTGACGTCATTAACTGATTAGTTCCTTACTTGACAATGATGCACACGTTTAGGTTGCATATTTTAAAATATATTTCACAATATTCTGGTTTATCATCTAAACAACCGTTCATTGAGTGGGTACCTTAGTTGTAAAGCACAAAGAGCATTTTTTCTAAGGCCTACTATATGTAATCTACATTACAATTCCCTCCACATTTTAATCTCTCAAATAAGTCCCCCCCCCCGGTTGTGACGTCATTAACTGATTAGTTTCCTTACTTGAAAGTGATGAAAACGTTTAGGTTTCATATTTTAAAATATATTTCACAATATTCTGGTTTATCATCTAAACAACCGTTTATTTTAATTCATTTATCCTTTAGACTAGAGGCGTTTGCAGTAGGGGACCTGAGGGGTGGTGATCCCCCGAGAGAAAATATTAGGTCACGTGACGCCATTTAAGTATTTTTATTCAGCTTCAAATAAAAACCAACTAGTACTGGCTGAAATAAGCATTGCTCTTCTATCTCCTAAAAATGGTCTTTAAAAATCAGTTTTCATTAATTTCTTCTTCGAAATACATTCTGAAGAAAA